TAAATTTCCCTCTCTCCAGAGGGCTTCTGTGTTCCCTATCTGAAATCATAAAACAAATGTACATTTTCCCAATAGGAAGTGCACATACTGCTAATAATGTAACGCTGTTAATTGGGATTTAAGTGATTATTGTGTTTTTTACAATACAGACTGAGACTTCAGGCACATGATTAAGGGTCAAGAAGCAAACTATTTAATTCATGAAATAGCTCTGGATAACAACGACTCATTGAGATATAGAGATGTAGAGACATCAATTACCACAAGAATGAGAAGTATCTTCCTTCCTGGACTATAATTAATATTAGCATTCTTTCAAAAGTGAAAATTAAGACATCACCTGAAAAATATAAATTATATCTATGCTTATATTGTAACATACATATATATTATAACATTCTGATTGAGCATATTTTATACTAACAAAGGATTGGTATAGTTTTGGTGGTATTTTAGCAAAGACATACCTTTTTCTGAAATCCTAGGCTGCAAAAATATTTAGTGTAGCTGTTTGGACTAACTGTAGCCATAGGTAAGTCCTATTTCTAGTCTGATAGATTCTATAAAACCTTTGCAACTTTGAATAAATAGCTATCTACTCTACAAAATATCTGAGGACAATACTTTCTTAGGATCAAGGGTAAGTAATGTCAACTACTTTCTCTGGTAGCAAGGTGTGATGCTGAATAATTACATGGTAGGATAGTGCAACCCAGTTAGCATTCACCTTCTTTTCTTACTCTATATAGGTTCTCCTTGATTCTTCATTCACATTTCCTAAATGAATAATTCTGCCTTTCCTCACATCAGGTAGTATGCTCTACTACTAGATTTTAACTATCTAACCTATTGCAACAGAGCTTTATTTTATTTTCAGTTATGAAGTTCTTTTGGATGTGACTGAATCACAGACATGCTAAATTTCTAGAGATTGAAAGAAAAGAGAGTGTACCTTCGCCACAGGAGATTATGGGCTCCTTAGGAGTCGAGTCTGGGGTTGCAGATGTTTGGTCTTGAGCTCTGAGTATCAATTTTTAGGTGGTTGGTTTTAAAATATAATCCTGAACCTCTCAAAGTGCAGAGGAAGCAGTAGCCCTCCCACATTTCCTTGTAACTTTGTAAAGCTTAAGTGCAAATCCAAATGCAGATTTTAATGACATTCTCAATGCACACACAGGAAATTCAAAATGAGTCAAAAAAGTGTATTATTAAACTTTTGATAAATGTGTAATAGGAAGAACTTTGGAAAACTGATCTTTCAGAATATGTGCCCAGGGTTTAGAAGTATCTTTTCATATATTTGAGTTAAGTGGTGCTCTCAAAGATTGTTGTATTTGATTTTTAATGTTTTCTGAGTGTTAAATTTCTTTGAAATGCAAAGGAAACATTGATTCAATGTTATTTGAAGAGCACCTTGTTACAGTAGGCATCTCTGATCCCCCCTTAACCCACTTTTCATAATCCTAAATCTCTTTTTTAAAATTTTTATTTTATTGGTACATTTAATTTATTTTTAAATTTTTATTTTATTGGTACATTTTAGGTATACAATGTAATGACATTCATCATTGGAAATTTGCACCTTTACACAATGGTCCTTATGTTTATAACCCAAGTGTCCAAGACACAATAATATTGGTTGGATTCAATTGACCTTGGCCCATCTACCCAATACTTAAAAGATGCCAGTGTATTTCATGACTAGAGCTTGATCATTGTCACACACTGTAGCACACAAAGCTTTGACATTTGAGGTTGCTTACTTCTTGAGCAGTTAGTAATGCACATAATTCCTTGCACTTTTAATATTTTGATGACAGTACTGAACAATGACTGGTGTTGAAATTATTTCTTATTAAATTCAATTGGCTCATTGATGAATGCCCAAAGTGGACCTTTCACTAGACTTTTGGCTTTTGACATTAATGTCAGTGGCCTTAAATCAATCTGCATGCCCTATTCTCTGACTGTCAATCCTGCACCATCTCAAACTGGGAAGAGAAGAGGTCCTTTGCTGAGTTTTTTGCCAAAGGTGATCAGAGATAGTTTCCAGTGGGCGTTCTAAGTTTCTAATATTTCTTGTTATGTTTTGTTGACACTGATAGTTTTCATTTATAATTTTCACTATAGATAGGAAGCATTTGTTGCCTGGTAAGTCAATCTCTTATGTACATTATTTCATTCTATTCTGACCATTGACCCAAAAAGGTCATATTATCATGCACACACTCTCAAGAGAAGCTGGAAGCCAGAAGCGATTAAATATGTTGTTAAAAACCACAAAGGTAAACATTTTCACAATATGTATTCAGATACAAATCTGTAAGACTTTAAAACCCAAGTTTTTAGTAACTTTACTTTTTATTTGATGTCATAAAATTATGGTGGATCCAGAATATTACAGAAAAACATTTAAAACATAAGTATAATTCAGTCCCTTCTCAATCTCCCTCTGCCTGTTTTCCCTCTGGGTCCTGACAATCACTTTCCTTAGTGGGTCTCATTTCACGTTTTCTTTCCTTTCTAGTGGTTGTTAAGGGAAGGACACAGGAGCAAAATAGCAGTGAAGGAAGAGACTGAAGAAGGACTGGTCATAACTAACATGCACACAATAATTAGCAAGGAATCAGACAAAGTAGCAAAACTCCTTCACACCCACAGTCTGCATTCCTGGGGAATCAAACTAGGAAGAAATCCCATCCCTGCAAGGAAAGGTGAAATCAGAAGGAAGAACAAGGCAGAAGCTTACACTTTCTTTAGATTTCATGAGAAACCTTAGTCTACCTGACTGAGCCAGTGTTGTTACCTCTATTTACCATGGAATTGTAAGATAGTTCTACCAGTTTATAATAAAAATGGCTTCCCATGCAATAGGTTAACAACATAATGTTTACCTTAAAATGTCTTAACTTGTAAATGAACCCCTTTATTGTGTATTTTATGTAGTCTAAAAGATGGTATGAAAGATGATATTTTCAGAAAAAGGTGCATGTAGTACTACATCAAAACTGTGTTGCTCTCAACCACATGGTAGATAATTCATAATTAAGAGCAAATCATTAGCAGCAACAATGATTGCTGGGAAACAGAATCATGAGCAGAAAGTACAGAAGCAATGTTGTCATCTCTTGAGAGAACTCACGTTATCTTGGCATATTAAAAGGAGAATTTTCTTCTCCAGCACTTATCTACAAATATTTCATTCTCCCTTAATGTGTTTTATTTGCATTACCCATTTTAAAGTACTAAATCTTTTCAAGGCTCTGGTTTTAATTACTTTGATCAGAAAATGTAAAAATAAAAACCCACAATGAACATCTATCCTGGGACATAATACTTGAGAAATGGAGGTTTAAACAGCGAACATTGAGCATCATCAGAAGGAAATATTAAAATGTTTATCTTGGCTTATGGGTTGGGTCCACATAATTACAACTGATTGGACCTGAGACAGCACATTCAGTTATTGTGGTCCTCAACAGCTGTCTCCCAGAAGTATGTTTTTGGAAGTCTGGTGCATATTTGTGCCTTATTAGATTGATGAAGGGATGCACATTTTACAGTTCAGTTCGCTGGCAGCTTGTAGACTCAGGCATACTCATCAGGGAAGCAGGGACCCTGTTTCATACTTCTACCCCCATAGATGACTGCAATGTACTTGATTTATTTAATCAGTGATGACAACAGTGCAGAGTAGAGACAGGTTAGTGTGGGCCATCTAACCTGTCTACACAGATCATAAAAGATAGAAGATTGACTAATATCTACTGAATGTCATAACAAAGAAAACTAGCCAAAGAGGAGAATTATCTCAAAGAAACTACTTAGAAGGTTGGCATTTTACAAAGGAGACTGACATTTAACAGAGCTCAAAAAGACCAAAATACTGGTGATGACATTATATAAATGCAATCTTCAAGGAAATCGTTTTAGGCCATTGTTAATATATCATGTCCAAGTAACTATACATGATTGAAAGTAGATCAAACATTTTTCTATATGGTTGTTTGAGCCTTTCTATTTTGAGATTAAGTTTATTGGCTGTCCATTAAAAATGTTTAAACTGTTTTGACACTCAACAAACATGTCATTTTACCACACTGATTCACAAGATATCAACATTCTGAGCTGAATTAAAAAGAGGAGAGCATGCAATGTGAAGAAACTGCTGGGAAATGGGGGGTGTACTTTAATGCTTGGATGCAGTGATGAGCACTTGGGCTGACTGTCATCTTATGTGAACTTAGCAGCAAGGGAATGTCACAGTTAAAAGTGGGCAGAAAGCCCTGAAAGTCTGAGAATAGATAATCTCCCATTGTTACTCCCCGAAGTACTTGTAGTAGAGGAGAATTAATCTTTCGGCAGCTGACAGGTCCAATACAAGGTTGCAGATTAACACTCATATTCATTACTTTTGAAATTTGGCAGCTAGGTGAAGAGATGGTGTCCTTTTAAACCATACAAAACCAAGAAATGAAAGCATAACTGATGTCTTAGCCAGATGAAAATTGAAAAATGACCATTATAGGTCAAAAAGAGAATACTGTATTCTTTTACAAAAGACTAGAGAGACTGAGACTCACCAAACAATATGCACAGAGGTAGCATTTACTTTATGTGTTACTTCAGTGAATTTAACAATCAATGGTTTTTCTTTGATGAGGTCATGAATATTTTCTAGAAAGCAGAATATTACAGAAAGGTCACCTCCTGTGATGACCCCAATCATACACCATGGCATTTTTTGGTCCCATTGGACATCCTACTCATGCTTACATACACAAACCAGATTCTAAGTGTGACGTATTCTTTTCTTCCAAGTGCTTCATGTGGTTCTGAATGTCCTTCTAAGGATTGGAGTGGTGTAGCCAGAGAGAACACACTTTTGATAACTCAGAAACAAGCACAGTTTTAGGAAACTAGAGCCTCCTACACGTTCTCCTGGTGACTTGCTTCCACACAGATGGTGGGTACTAAGCTCAGTGAGGGTCTGAATGGTACAAGACCCAGTTAGGGCAACGGAGCTGTTTCTGCTTCCAGATTTTCCAGCTGAAAGGACAAAGAGAGCAGAGACAGTGAGCATTTCAGATTTGGTGGCAGCACACATTAACTGAAAATCTTCTGTATGTAAGAACTGCCTTGATGACCTTCATATATACTTTAATCTGCAACCTTCAGAGATTTCCCAAATGTCAAGACATTAATTAATCTTTTTTGTCATCATGAATATCTCCTGGGTAATTAGGAATGTGCTTTTGCTCTTGTATGCATTACTGAAGTCAAACTGTACGCTAGCCATCATAGAGATGTTATTGATGGTTTCCTTGACAAGACACAATTTAAATTAAACTCTTTTTCTTTCTTCATCCTTTACTTCCTTCCTCCTTATCCTCAAATCATTTATCACTTGATCAAAATCTCAAAAGGAAAGTCAATGTCTTTCTTTGCAATACTTTTATATTCTTTATTTCTAGATGGAGAGATTTTTTATTTTTATCCAATTCTCAAAATTAATGGATTTTTCCTGATGTAACTGATTTTAATTATATCTTCAACCTACCCCCACTGTAAAGGTAAGTGCAATAACATGACATTTGTTCAGATACATGAAACTGTGGCTTGCTGTTTTCAAATAAAGGAGGAGGGCACTTGAAATGGATTAACTCTCGTAATTAACAAGTACCTGTTAATGTTATTATAATTTTGGTAAAAAGAAAATGATTGCATAATAAGTGCAAAGGGGTCCAAAACTTGTTTAAAACTTTTATAAATTGCAAAATTCAGGAAATGTGTAAGAAATCAGTGGTACAAAGAATGTCTATTTGCTGCCCAGATTCACCTACTCTTAGGCCTCTGGTTTGCCATTTTCTTAGGCTCCCCCCCTGACCCCCTTCCTACACACACACACACACAAACACACACACACACGCACATTTTCAACCATTTGATACTAAATTAACCCTTTACCCCTAAATATTTCATTATTTCTGAAAAGCAAAGAGTAAATCAGATCTCTGCCAGTGTCAGAAGAGTCAGGCTACCATGGGCCTGGATTGTCCCTGCACATTTTTGTTGAGAGTATGGCAGAAAGCATCTTTCTCCAACTTGGACCACTTCTGTCGTTAGTCACATAGGCAACTAAGTCAGTCCAGAAATCTAGAATTAAGTTGATCCAGGCCAGCACAGCACAGACAACTGTGTGAGGGTCCTGCCAGCAGACTTTTTTATTGTTCTCCATGTGGTAAGTCTGGCTCTGGGTTTTTTAGCTGTTACAGAACCCATTGTGTGAGTAGCTGCCATTTGGTCCTATCACATTGCCCTGTGGGACTTGAAGGCAGAGAAACTGGCACCCCTGTATGAACACTTCTGTTTGCTGCACAGTAATGACTGGAGTCTGTCTTCTTGTCATGATCTACAGTGCTGTGGCAAGGCAATCTGCTCCCTTGCTTAGTTATCTCCTCTGGAGTTTTGTTTCTTTTGACATCCTCTAAGACGTTGAGAATTTTGCAAGACAAGTTGTTATAAATTTCAGGATGGCAAGATAGATACCTTTGAACATAAAAATGACACAATGTCATGGGCTAGGTCTGAGGACCTTTCGAAACTCCCTGGGGTTGGTAGCAGATATTCTGGTGCAAGTGGTAGAAAAAGGCTAGTAAATGGTCCACCTCTGTACCACCTGTTGAGGACCATGAGTTGGCCAGTGGCTGGGGGCTGGAAGGTGACAGAGAGAATCTAATGAGCTGTCATGGTTGACATGTGGTCTTCTATGGGATCTGGAAATAGGAGAACATGCTGGGCCCCATCAGGGAGGAAAGCACAATTGCATGAGTTTTAAATTACAACTAGAAACATCTGGCTTGCAAAATGACCCCATAGAGAATATCTACAATGAGAGAGAAGGGATGCTTTGGTCAACAGACTGAGGGACTATTAGATGTTTGACTGCTATTTCAGTGTGCTAAAGTGGCTCTTAACAAGGTCACAGCCATGATAAAGATTGTTTCACTGGATCAGATTCATGCCCCACAATGAAGTTTGCTACTCTGGATTGTTTTACTGATGACATCATGGCCAGTCCAAGGAGTGGGTGGGGCTGATTGGATCCTTGTGCTGCTCTCCTCCTCTTTTGCTGCTCCCAAGAATAACTGTATAATTGTTACTGATCATTTACTTGTTTATTCTGTGAATGCTTATTATGTCCAAGGAAGATTTTTCTGTTCTTTAGGAAAGGTGATGGTGAGACACATGCACAACAGATCACAACTCAGCTTTTAGTTATCTTCCATGTTTTGAGAAGAAACAATTTAGAATTCTAGGAAGAGAAGGAAACCATAGCCTTGATTAAGAACCTAAATGCAACAGGACTAATGAAAAATACAATGTCTCAATATAACAGTCCTATGCGGCCAATGAAAAGATCTAATGGGATCTGGAGACTCATGGTGGATGATTGCCAGCTGAATGCAATTGACTTTGCAGTGCTGGTGGTGTCAGACCATACATAATCTGCAGTCCTGGGTGTTCAGACATTATGACTATAGATGAGTCAATTGCCCATGATAAGACCTGCTTGGACTTTGGTCATGTTTTTCACTTAATCCTTTTGCCACCCAAAGATGGAGATTTGTGCCCTGACAGAACCTCCAAACATGTTATGCGCTGCTGAAGTACAACTCGAATTCTCTTGTTATTTGCCACCAATAGTTGGCTCATACTATAGGTCAAGCCTTTCTCTTTTGCTGTAGGAAAGTTTGTCCTACTACTCTGCTGATAGGTCCCAAAAAGTTTAGCAGATGCTAAATCTCATGAAGGCACAGAGAGTCTCCTAAATTCTGAGAAGACATAGAGATCAGCCATCCAAGTCAAAATCCTGAGAACATTGTGCTATGATCCCAGAGATAGTTAAGAACACATTATTTTCCCTATGTCTCTTCAATACCAGAAAGGAAACCTGGCACTTAATTGTAGTATTGAGGTATTAGGGACAATGTATGCCTTATCTATGCATGCATCTTGTTGAGCTGTATGTAAAAGTTCATCAGAAAACTTGCCACGTCTGACTGGGGACCTGAGCAGCTGATGACCTTGGAGTCAGTGCAGCAGGTTGTCCCAGTGGGCTATCCATGGAGCCCTTTGAGCTACAGGTTCCTAAAAATGGAGTCAGCTTCCACTTGGTGTTCTGGACTCACTGTTTTCCTTGTACCACCACCCACTTCATAGGGAAAAGGAACATCTTAGAGCCTGGAGGTTCTAGAAAAGGAGAATAACTGATATTCTTTGTTTTCTCTAAATTCCAGTACTCCGTTTGGCAAAATGATCACATGGTTCATCAGAGATATGTAGTAGCTGTGCTTGCCAACCTTGTCCTGCTGCTGTATTTGTCCCTATCCATTTGCTATGGGAGCAGAGAAACCTATGTTGGCTTACTTGGCCGGAAATTATTCTGCAGTGCCTGATGTTACCAAAAGCAGCCCCTGAAAATGAGTTTGTCTTGTATATGCGGAAACACATACACTGATGCAACCTTGTTTTAATGATACTCGTATCAATTCACATGCTTCTCTTGCACCTGAATGCCTTTGGCTTATGCCATATATGGCTATCTAGTCTATAACTACTTGGTGACTGTGACCAGGTAGCTTAACCAAATCAATGTAATGGTAATCTATATCACATTTGTCAATGACTTATAAACAATAGTAACATATCTCTTTTAGTTATGTGCTTATATGTGGGAGAAGACTGGACACAGGGTATCTCTCCTTATTGAGTTACTGTCTGGCTCATCTTTGACTCCCTACAATTATTGGCAATGACAGTACTCTTTGGAGCCTATCTCCTTTATTGAGTTCCCAGGTAAAGAGGACTCTTCCACTTGTAGGAGACGTGGGTTCTTGTTTCCACACAGAAGCACTGTTCCCTGGCATCAGAATCCACATTATAGAAATAGGCTTCAAACTTAATTACAATAGCCCATGAGCTAAAACTAACTATAGAAAATCAGCAGAGCAGTCTGAACTCCCTAGCATTGCTTGGGCTTAGACTATATTCTGGCTGAACAGGAAAGGGTTTGCATGGTTGCCAACTGCTTCTGTTGCTTCTGTTGCTTCTGTTGTGTTTGGATTAATACTCAGAGTACGGTGGAACAATCTATGCATGCCATAAATAAGGAAGTTAGACAATTGTCTGAAATAAGACCTATTAGTCTTTTCTGGGATTTAGTTGACCCTGGAATCCTAGAGGGTATGGTTAAGGTCAATATTGCAGATTGATCATATCCTGTGCTAGGGTTTTATTGATAATAACCTCAATCCAGTATTGATTAAAAAATGGCACAGATTTGGTCCTAGTTCTAGTAATAGTGTCTAAACTAAATGGTTGGTTAGATGGTATAATTACATGAAAATTTAATTTCAGTTAACAAAACACCTAACAGCTGAATTATTGAGAGACAATTTAATGAACATACCTGCACATTCTTGTTGACTGAAGTGAACTACAAGACCTAATTATCTTCTGATTCTGAGTTGTCTACCTGTCTCTGTCTCTCTCTCTATGTCTCTCTCTTTCTCTGTCTCTCTCTCTGTCTGTCTCTATCTCTGTCTCTGTCTCTCTCTCCTTTCCCCACCCTGGTACATGCAAGGGCACTCTATCACTGGTGCTACAACCCCACCCCTATTGATTGATTGATTGAGATAGGGTCTCACTAAATTGCCCTGGCAGGACTTGATCTTGTGATCCTCCTGCCTCAGTGTCCAAGAGTAATGAGGCATGTCCAACACACCCAGCCTGACTTATTTCTATAGCTAGTCCACAGTCAACTTAGAGACTTACTGCCCAACTTCATGAGGACTAGCACATGAAAACTCTTTTGTATGTCTCACTCTTGTTTTTTTTTTTTGGTACCGGGGATCGAGTAGGTCTCACTCTTGAGGGAGGAGGATTGGCTTGCTTACTGTTCACTACAAAAGATGCTGAACTCTTAGCCCATGGGTAGTTGTACATTGCTCTGTGTGTGTAGCAGCTGTCCGGGTCCATTGTGTTAC